CTTCAAACGGATGTTCTTAGGCTACCCAGAGGATACTTGGTCAAGGACCGGAAGTCGTGAGCTGCTTGAGTCATATGTAAAAGAATCGTTTTTGGCCACACACAAGTGAATGGCGATCAGAAAACTTTCCTCACTTGCGTGAACTTCTACGCATGACTCCATCCCACAAGTATAATTATAAATTTAAGTGTCTACTTTCTAGCTTACCTGTAAATGCAGTGATCGAAATGATTATACGAAGAAAACATAACTATGGGACCAAGTCCAACTGCGAGAGAGAAAAAGCATTGTACCACAGCCTCCTTCCACACCTGCAAAATATTTTTATATAAAACTTATAATATACGTAATAATTAAAATATTTCTGCAGCTTCTATATAAAACGAGTCAATTAAAATTATCATCATTAAATACAACACTTATTCTTATTACAGTTTACTTTTATAAGCTTTACCCAAGAGGTAAGTAATTTCTGTAAAATACAGACTACTGCGTGAACGGATCCAATAAACATCGCCCACTTCCACAAAATGGTAAGTACGTATTTCAGATCGGATTTTGATTTTTCATAAGAGAACAGATACATAGTAGTAACAAATTAACTACTAAATAGTATAACGTAAGCGACATAAAATGAAATAACTGTATTCTGCTTAACGAATATAGTAGGTAAACTATGGTATGTATACGTATTAGAGTGATTCAAAAAAAATTTTTTTTTTCGTTTGGTACTCTGGCTCCTAGACACGTCTAAGGAAGCCTCTCCAAGAATGAGTTCTTAATTTTAAAGGGAAGGTTCTCCTATTTACAGTTTTATATTTTTTCTTATTATCTGATAGAAAAGTTTATATCTCGCTTCCAACCACTTCAAAATATATTTTTTTCCTTAGATTTTGTAGGAAATTGAATGCTCTACAAAAAAATTTCTCATACGATTTTTTCGTAAACCCAACCGTTTAAAAGATATTAACGGTTGAAGTTTGGTTATTTTTTGGAAAATTTTTTATTTATTTTGAATTTTATAATTGAATGATCACTCAACTCAAAATCAATACGCAAACTCCTATTTTTCAGACCAGACCAAATGAAAAAAAAAATATTTTTTAATCACCCTAATATGTATATTTGTCCAACCCAATCCCTGTCGTTTCAGTATTTCATACTCTTGCAATTTACAAGAATCAAAGCCAGTGAAATAATAAGGTGCTAATTTTTAGCCGATTTATTTAGACGAACATTTCATGTTTTTGCAACTTGCCAGGATTAAAGCCGGGGTAATACTTTCATGCACTTTGGCTTGTTAGTTATATTTTTGAACACGCGGCGGACTTTACTCCATATATTTTTTGATTCTACGTGAGGAAGCTTGATGAAACCTGGAGAGATTTTATTAGGTTGTGGTCTTTTAATTACATGTAATATTGGAAAAATATAGATTAAATTTGAGTCAGTACTGTCTCCTATATCCCTAATATGAAGTTGAATATATTATTGTGTAATGCCAAAAATATGTGAAATTATTATTATTTATTTATATATAAATTTTCCTCGGTTTCAAACCTCTGGTTGAAGTCTTGCTTCTTAAGGTATTTCCCTAGCTTTGATCCTTGCAAATTGCAAGAGTATAAAATGTTCTGTATATCCTTTTTTATATGAACCTTTAAAAGCTTGATTTTTAGCCTTTTAAACCATATTTATTATTTAGCTTTACGCTCTTCTTCATTTTCTTTAAGAATGTGTGTTGAATAAATTTGTTATTCAAATGAGTGCATGGAAAGTTGTTGCTTTTAGCTTCATAGTTTTAGGGTTTTTTATACTCTCAACAACATTATGCACAGAACATAATATCTTGATGAAACTAAGCATACGTATTCATTATATACATATACAAGTATCTTATATTACAATATATTCATTTGATATTCAAATTAATGGTATGCGCTTTCATTGATTTAATTTCTTTCCGACGTACTGATTCTTATCCCAATTTCCGAATTTTATTGAACCGTTTTATAAATATGATCGTGCATATGCACAGAATAGAATATAAATATCATACCTTTGGATTAAGTAGTTCATGCCAATTAGGTTCTAGGAAAAACATTATTCCTTTTGCCGCTCCCTCCAGTGTAACTGCACGCACTAGTAATGCCAGGAGTATTACGTAAGGAAACAAAGCCAAAAAATAAGCCGCTTTTCCGGAACTTTTTACGCCTCTCATGATGACCAAGAAAATTACAATCCACGAGACAAAAAGTGTTAAAGTTAATTTCCATTCTGGCATTCCTAGTCCATCCTCAATGTTTTCCTTTTCTTTTATAACTTCTTTTCTGTAGTTTGTAAAGAAACATAATAAATAAAACATGTATGTACTATACATCTAATGTAATGGTTGTATATATTCCTATATCCCCAATTACATATCGTTGAATACTTTTTAATTAATCAACAAAAAAGTATTCAACGGTATTTAATTGGGGCGCTTGTATCAAAACTTACAAAAAGTAGAGCTCAGAACTGCTTTGTAGCTGCATTGAAGAGTTTTCAATACTGCTTTCTATCCCATCTCCAATTGGATTTGAATTGATACAATTGTTACCCCATTCGGATCTACAATATGTCCACGGAAGTACCGATTGACAAGAAACTATCAGGTAATATAATGTCAATGCCAGAAGAGATGAGTAGTAAGTGATAATGCAAATTGTAGCGAAAGCTTGACCATACCCTATGCCTACAAGGAAAATAACCTAATTTTATAAAATCAATGTGAAAGTTGTTATTATGATACGTATGTACCTACGAAAGAGGGGCAAATGCTCCAAATCTTCACCGAACCTTTACTTGAGAACTGACCCAAAATCATTTCGAGATAATACATTGGCTTTCCTTAAAAGAAAATACCATTTAAGCAGTTATTATATTATTTTTATGGAAACTTACCTATTATAAAGAGAACGATAATATATGGAATCAAAAACGCTCCTCCACCATTTTCGTAAGCTGTAAAAGGAAATCGCCATACATTCCCAAGTCCAACAGACATTGATATGCATGACATGAGAAATTCTAGCCCATTTGACCAATTGGGACGTTCAATTAAGTCTTTTCCTTGGAATTGTTTACTTTCTTTTTCATTTTTTCTAGGCAGCTATAAATAAAGGAATATTAATTTTATATATGCATACATTGATTCATTAAGGTGTGTCTAAACTTTCTACATCAAATTTTATAAAATGCATAACGAAGCACTAAAGAAGATATAACACCGGCATTTGGTTCAGGGGTTTGTAATATGTTTATTTTACTATTTAAGCTACCAAATATCACTCAAATTTGCTCAGCTTAAATTATTTCGATATTGTTTTGACAGAGTGGAAATAAGTGAAATCGGACGATAACCATGCCCACTCCCCATATAATATTTTTTTAACTTATAAATATGAGATATATTACAGTATATCAATACTCGTGAAATTTCAATTAATTACCGTATATATCGGTCAATATGTTAGATATCATAATTTAGGTAAAATATTACTAATATTAATAAACCTTAGCCAAATTTATCGGCCAGCGTGTGAGTTATCTAATATACTACACAAAATTCTCGTGTCACGGTGTTTGCTGCAAAACCTCTCTAAAACTCGCTGCATTGGTTTTGATGTGCTTATCGGGTAGATCTGAGAATCGGCCAGCAGGAATTTTTCATACCTCTAAATTGAAAAAGTGTTTCACCTCATTGTTTTTAAAGCAAATTTTTTGTTTTTACTTTTAATGATTCAGCATTTTAAAATATATACTGTTATACATTTCCGGTGCAATACTATTAACTCCTAATTTTCAATCGCGAGGATTATGCACATTTTAATTTGGTTCATAGACAACATACGTCGTAAAGACGTGGACAATTCCTTTTTATACTCTCGCAACAAAGTTGCTAAAGAGAGTATTATAGTTTTGTTCACATAACGGTTGTTTGCAAGTCCTAAAACTAAAAGAGTTAGATATAGGGTTATATATACCAAAGTGATCAG